GAAAATAACCTACCCGTCGTTCTTCCATGTACTCGTCCCGTGTAACAATTTCTTCTTGCATTTCATTCCGTCTAATCGCTTGTGGCGATAAACCACTGAATCGCATCCTATTTGGATCGGTTTCTCGGACATTCCGCCTCGCATCCAGCACTTCTTCCTGATCGGAGTCGACGCCCCAAGTATAAACGTTAGCAACACGCAAACGCCCGCCATCCTGTGAAAAGGACTGTTGCTACCTCTGACTTTTCTGTTTATGGCAAGAACAATGGCAAAAAGCTAATTAGTAAGTCATTTACCCCAGTCCTAATTACCTGGTTGACCGAGCTTGTTGATGCTGCTTTTGGCAGGTAATCGGCAGCTGGATTGATCCTGAAAATGGTTTTTCTGATGTTCCTATCATATTACTGGAAAGCGTGAGTATCAAAAAAATAGTGAATGACGAAAAAATTTTCATCGAGATTCTGAGAAATAAAAAAACTTTAACAAGCTAATCTTTGAGCTTGATTGCACCGCGTGTTGTGATTGGTGACCGCGCTGAGGCCACGCCTACCACGCGCTGTGATTGGTGGTTGTTAAAGCGTCCTTTTTTCCATAAAAAGTGCCGCTTGCGAAAGCAGCTTCGCAATGTTTCCATTTCACTTACATGATCTTCAATTGAAACCTACCTTTTAGATGAGGTGAAAGCTAAGGGTCGAGATGTTGTTGACCCAGGCTCAGTACTAAGCTTGAGCAAATCCAGCGTAGCTTCATCCAGCTGTGTAAGTGATTGTTGTGTGCTACGTGAGGCGAAACCACCACGGGTATTGGCGGTAGCTGGAAGACACGCGTATAGGATGAGTATTGATCAACATAAAAATAAGGATTTGCTGGTTAGTTGCCTAGCTTGACTAGTGTAACCAGTTGTCTATATCTGCTGACTATTCTAAAGAAGGCTACGATACTAAAGAACATATTCTTGCTATGAAAGCTGATGGTTCCAAAATTTTATGTCGAAAAGGGCAGAGCATACCCGGGAAAGGAGCTGAAAATTTTTCGATCAGTTCTTTTTCTTGCAAGAAATGATTTTCTAGCCATTCAAAAGACATTTTCTGAAAAGGATTCGTAAAACTTTGACCAATAATAGCGCTTTGCTCCGCCCCTCTCTTGGAGTATTGCTCAAGCCCTCTGTCAACTAACATTGGCCTGTTTCAATTGACTCATATTTAAACTCGGATTTGGTTTCTACGGTCGAAGTATGCATGGAGTCAAGTGAATGTGATAGCCCTGAAAACACACCGAAATCTAGAAAACGCTAGAAATCACCGCTAAAACAACTAAAATGAGTCTATCCTAGAATAACTGAAACTTTTCATAAACGTTTTCCAGCAATGAATCACAGCCGCTTACCTCTGGGACGATACTGCATCTGTGCTCTATCGGCTAAACTCTGATGTGGTGTATCATGTGTGGGATCCTCTGTGAAACGAACATTACGTGGTGAAGCAGGCATGGATGCTAAAACATATGGAAATCAATTTTTCGACGAAGTTTTTTCTAAGATTACAGTAAAAATAGTTCGCGGAATTGCTCAGATTTAAGAGAGCGAAGGCAGTGTTTCGATCAAGCTGGATTTCAATGACTTCTCATTTGGACACAGATTGTTTTACTAAGGCATTGTCAAGCAGCAGCCTACGTAAAACTCGTTCAAACCGCACTTTTTTCGAGCGGACCAATCACCGTGCCGTATTCGAGGCCCTAGTGGATCGCTTGAAAAATACGGTCTGGGCGAGAGTAAAAATCAAAAAAAAA